GATGTAATAGGACCGACCTGCCTATAATTGGATTGAGAAGAACTGAAATGATTAGTAAACATGTGTGACCAAGAAATTTAACCTTGCCCATAGAACCATTCAGTTCTCCAAAATAGAATTTTAGTCACTTAACTTGTAAGCATACACTTATCCTCTATTGAAGTATATACCTAACCCTTAAATACATAGTTATACAAAGCCATTCACTGTCAGTTTAATGGTAATATATCAATTACTATAAGAGTAATTATTAGCAATTTACTGTGATTTTTTTTTTTTACATTATCCTTGAAATTTTTCTGGATTTTATTTCCTCTATTGCTACATTTTCTTCTTTCCCTTTTCATTTCTATTCTTATATCTTAAAGTAAAAAAAAAAAACATCTGTGATTTCTGATATCACTCAAGGAGAAGCCGGTTCTTGCTTCTTATGGCAGAATATGCTTGTGTGTAGAACATGTCACAAAATGTGAGCAACTCTATAGCTGAGTGTTTGGAATTTGATCAGTAGGGAAGAGAGGGCTTGTTGTTATGCAGGTTTTAAGCAGTTTTGATTCTCACTGCAAAACTGTCAAATATCCCAGTCTTTTTTTGCTGTTGTTGTTGTTATTGCTGCATAGGGAAGTTTATTATAATACATTGAAAATAGGCCAGAAATTTACCTCAGAAACAATTTACCTGTTAGTAAATATCTTTACCATAGCAACATTTTCTTCAATAATTATTTACAAACACTTATTTCTAGGGCAGATATGTTGGCAAGAATTCTCACAATCTGGACATTACCCACACACGTTTCAACGTTGTCTCTGTAGAACAAAAATCCATTACTAGTTGAAGTAGTGTTTTGGGAATTCAGTATTGATCCAAATCCTATAAAATCTTAATTTACCAAAACATTCAGTTATGAAGATTTTCAGTCTTTACTGAAATTCTTCTATTGGAATAAAAAGAAAGATTACAAGACAATAATCAGATATTAGCAATTTAGTTAAATGAATTTATAGAATGTAATCTGAATTTGTTACCCGCCAGTGCTCTATATCAGGGGCTGGAGCACACCTTACCAGCTCCAGCTAGACTATTAATACATAAAGGTTGCTATCCATTCTTATTGTTTAGTGTCCATGCCTGGTTAATTATAAACATTTTTCATTATCATCCTTGCCTGCATAGATTATAATTAAATAGTATTTTCAGCTTATAAATATACATCTATAATTCTTTCAGTAATACCTTTTGAAGTAAATAGAATTTCTCTGCTATATAAATTAAAAATAACTGGAACACCCATTTTGCAAGCATTTTAATAATTAAGGTATATTTGGTACTTGAGTGGGACTAAGCCTGTAACATGGCAGAAAGGAGAAATAATCAACTCTAGAATTGGATTTTGTAATTGTATTTAGACATAACCACCAAGCAATGAAGGTATTTCTAATGGTACCATTCTCTTTCCTCATGCTGTTTGCATCTCATAGATCATGATGAAATCTTTTCTTGGGGTTGGGGATACATCCTTATATATTCATATGCACGTTTATTCCTAGCAGTTTGAATAAAATTTATCAAACATTTAAGAAAACATCTATCATGTTCCAGGTACTGGGTTAAAAAGAATGGTTTTACATCCTGTTCTCAGGGAGTTTATAACCTCAGGCACAAAAGCACCAAGAGATACAAAGAACTGAGAATATTCTGAGATGGAAAATTCTGTAGCATAGTTGGCCCAGCCTTATGGAGAAAGTGATATTTGAATAGCAATTTAAACATGAAGGGATTTGCTAAATTGAAGGGGTGAGGAAGTGTGTGTCAAAGCAAACAAAGGGTTAGCATGTAACAAGTCCCAGGAGCTCACAGCAGCATGGCGGATGCCAGGAACCCTCCTAGCTCTTTGCATCTCCTCTCTAAGAGGGAGGGTACTGGAGTACAACTCCGGGAGAAACCAAAAGCGTAAAATGTGTCAGTTCAAGACAGGGGGAATGGTTCAAGAAAGAGGGAGTTGTAAATGCTGTTAGAGGTGATGTAATGACAGACTATGCATAGTCTCTGGATTTAGTTTTTACGGAAGCATTGACGACTGCTGCTGAGCCCTCAAGTAATAGGTGTGGGGGTCACACTGACACAGATTCAAGAGTGAAGGGGACAGGAAGAAGCTGAGCTATAGCGTACGTAGATGACACTTTAGACAGTTGTCTGGGAATGACGGATTAAGAGCATTCAGGAGAGGAGGACGCAGAGCCAGGCGAGGTCCCCTTCCTTCTGCCGTGCCACTCCCTCCATTTTGGAGCTACTTCATCACTCGGAGGGCTAAGTAATAGTTGAGGGAAAGGCAGGACATTCATATATAGAGGGAAGATAAAGGGAAAGAAGTCTCGAGAAGGAGCGAGTCAAGGTGGAAGCTTAACCTTGGAGAGGGGAAGGGAAAACTCCAGCAAGATGCAGAAAGATAGTTTAAAGATGCGTGGCAGGAAGGTGAGAGAGAGTTCATGCCCACGGGCCGCGATTTTGACTATGAAGCATTTGTGATATACAAGATCACATGTTGTTGAGAGTAAAGGGAACATAGAGGACGAGGTAGCTGAGAGGGACGAAGTTTTAGGAAAGCTGTGTGTGGAATGTGAGCGGGAGCTGTCCAGGGCCAGGGGGATCCCTAGAGAGTGGGAGGGCCTAAGAGACCCCGAATACGGTCATTTGTAGGGGCAGTGATGGGTGTGTGCGTGCTTGAGTTATGTTCATGGGTTGTGTCCATATATGTATTTATATGGGTGTGTTCATATGGGTGCTTGTGTATTTCTGTGCCCTAAAGATAATTCCAGTCTGGATAATAGTAAGTGATCATTTGATTTACCAAAGTTTATGGAGATCCATCTATTTTTTTTCATCACTATGCTAGGGTGACGAAAATAAGATTGTTTCTGTCCTTGGGGACATGTAGTCTAGTGGGTCAGACATGTAAGGAAGTAGAACACTGACTGTTAGGGGTGCAGAGGAAAATAAGAGGAGGCCGTGTGACTAGATGGGTGGGTGGAGATGGAGGAAGTGATACCTTGGAAGCTTCTTGGAGGAAGTGACTGCTCTTAGCTGGCTTCCAAAGGAAGGTTGGAATGGGTGTTGGGGAGGCACTTTAAGATTCTAGAGAGACGGACGACAGAGATTGTTGACCACGGCTGAGGTATATGCTCAAGGTATGAAGTAGTTGGGAAACGCTGAATCAGGGCAGAGATCCAGGAAGGTGGGTGAATCTTAGAGTTTATGACTGACTTGACTTTGTTTCTATAGAAGTAGGAGTTAGGACCAGAAAACATTTTGAAAACAGAAATATTTCTTGAGCATTGGTATGCGTTGGTTCTTTTTAATCTTTAGCTTCCTCAATATTTTCCGAGCCTGGCACCTAGTAGTCTTTAACATCGTTAATGATAAGAATGACAGTATTAACCCTAAAATAAATTTTAAAACATTTTGCTAGACTAGCCACATTTATATGTATATAATATATATTCCTGTACCTTGATTCGATGATATATTCTATATTACATCCATGTCCTGATTTCCAGATTATAAGTGTATCATCTGCCCGTTGACCATTTTCAGCCCTTGAAGAAGTGCAATGAAGCACTGTTATACTCTGTCGTTGCCTCTTTGGATTGTGAAACTTTTAAGTTACTAAAGCCTTGTTTTCTTTGTTGGTAATGTTCACAAGAGAAATATATATCTATATCTATAATATATATATATATTATGTATATATCTGTATCTATATATATCTATATATCTATATCTATATCTATATCTATCTATCTATCTATCTATCTATCTATCTATATACACTTTTGTTTCTGGAACTACTGAACATTTTCTGAAAGTTTTTCCATCTGATTGAAAGAGAAAGTAAGTTGTGAAAAGCAAAAATACCTTGCTAATAAGGAAAAGTCTTCAGTGCCGAGGTAATAGATCATCAGGCAATAGGGGATCCCTCACCCCACAACCTCCAGCTCCGTTCGTACCTCTGAAGGGCATCACGCCACCCAAATCAGATTGCTCGCTTAATATTTAATGTGTTTGCGATGGAATCACTTTCTCCCCTGAGGTCGACTTCAGATTTGCCAGACACACTGACAACACTGCACTCCTTCTTTTCCCCACATGACCTCAGCTTCTGCTTAAAAAATGTTCGAATAAAGGATGCTTTTGTTCATATCTCGCCTGCCTGTGATATATTGACAAAGTGTCTGCCGGCTGAATGGAATAGTTTTACAGTATGAGTGCTGCTTTCAGTGGAGGGGCAGGACTTGGGCTTCAGAAGGAAGTGAATTGGATAGGTCAGGAGAATGTACCATTTGTAAACACCCCTTTCCTTTTTTATTCACGTGTCAGGACAGCAGGAGCAGGCTGTTCAGTGCCCGTCCCTGCGCAGAGCCCGAGGGGAAAGCAGCTTGGAAGTCAGCTGCAATTTTTAAACGTTGCTTTTTTTCACCCCTGGCAATGATCTTCACGTACTTGGACTTGTCTTAGAAGCTGTTTTGAAACTAACATGGTTTAGTCCACTAACTGCATGTTGGGTAAATTCAAAACCCACATGCTCGTCCTCTTGCAGTGGAATAAGTCACATCTGATGGACATTTTCTGTGCTTATAGCATAGTAATGAACGTCTGACAGGCGCGACCTTTCATAAGACAACCCACACTATTGGCTTTCTGCCCAGAATATTGCTGCAACACTATCTGTGATTGGTTATCTCTCTATCATGCATTGCTTCACAAGGGGAAACGGCCCCTTTTTTTAATAAATCTACGATGGCTGGCTGCAATATGCCTCACTGTAAGTATTTGTGTGTGTGTGTGTGTGTGTGTGTGTGTGTGTGTGTGTGTGTGAGTGAGAGAGAGAGGGGGCTGACTTGAATATGACTTAGTCTGGTAGCACATGGCAAGGTTGTGATACTATAGGACATCAGTGAAGTGCTACTTGGTAAATCGTAACCTATCTCTTTTTTCTACAGGTTGGTACTAAGAAGTGCCTTTCCTGACGTCTCTGCTGCTTGGAACCGCTTCTAGAGCAGTGTCTGCTTTTGCCTTGCTTGCTGCCAGCTAGACTGTGACGACAGCACATCCACCCTCCACCTCTAGCCCAGACACCCCCATTTCTACTTATAATCAAGAGAAAAGCTCTAAGTATCTGGCATTGCCCTAGGCTGCTTTAGTTTTAAGAGAAAAGTTTGCTGAAAAAGTAAGATATCTTCTGCCAGGAAATCAAGGAGGAAAAAAAAATCATTTTCTCGATTTTGCTCTAAACTGCTGCATCTGTCTATGCCAAACTAATCAATACCGATTGCACCACCAAACTCCATTGCAAATTCAGCTGCGAGGAGATTCCCTTTCAGACAACTTTGCTGAAAGCAGCTTGGAAAATCGGTGTCCAAGGGTCTGCCACGTTTTCATGCTTGCATTTTGGGCTCAAAATTGGCATTGGGAAGGGGTTACTGAGAGCACAAGGCTGATTCGAGGCCCTACTTTTAAACGGTCATCTGCTTAAGATCCTAGTATTTCTCTAAAAACCAAAACCTCTTTGAATTAACAGTTTCATGCTGTGAATTTCTAGTGGGAGATCTTTTCCTTGATATTGACAACACAATTTTCCATGTACTTTTAAAGCAGGGAGTGGGGGAAAAGTATTTTGAAGGGGACGTTTTCAGCATCATTTTACAGTTTTATCAGTTCAGCTTTTTTTTTTTTTTGGTTGCTTTTTTTTTGTGGGGGGTTGGGTTTGTTGGTTTCACTGAAAATTTTAACTACCTGTAAAATCTAAACATGGCTGTTAGTGTCACACCAATTCGGGACACAAAATGGCTAACACTGGAAGTATGTAGAGAGTTCCAAAGGGGGACTTGCTCACGGCCAGACACGGAATGTAAATTTGCACATCCTTCGAAAAGCTGCCAAGTTGAAAATGGACGCGTAATCGCCTGCTTTGATTCATTGAAAGTGAGTAAATATTATATTATTCTAAGGATATGCAATAATTGAATAAAGGGGTTATGAACGTAGAGTGCACCGAGTTTGGAGTTATGGGTTGCTTTGTTAATAGTTTAGTTATATGGTGTGTTCTTATTGCTGATGTTGGGGTGGGGGGACTTTATTGAGAAGCATTAGAACCAAGTCTGGCCCAACTTGTTTGTTATAAATAACTTATCAGCCCTCTAATGCTATGATTTTTTTTTTCTAGAGCAGAAAAGTGTCAGCATACATTTTATTTGGTAATAGTAAAGTCAGTGTCTGTCTGTAGGTATAGTAAATGTTGATAATGTGACTGTTAGCATATGCATACATTCTATACAAGGCCATGTCAATAGCTCAATGAAGATTATTTGATTTTGCGTGTTTCTAAAGGTGCTGTACTGTTGTAAAAGAATAGCAGATTTTAAATCATCTAAACTTGGATAGATATTTTGTATTAACACTTTGACATTATGGATTTCCTTTTGATTGTATGAGCATATTATTTTAAGGCTAGAAGCGCAATGCATTTTGTGGAAATTATAACTAGAAGTAAGGTTCTGGACTGCTGCTACAGTACTCTATCTGAGGCGTAAACTTTGCTGAATGTGAGTTTTATGAATAAGTAGACCCTATTAAGCACTATTATTAATGGGATTTTTTTTTAGCTTCTAAAATTCTAATATGAAGGAACTTGACAGTTTATTTTCTGTTAGATCCTGATTATTATTTTTTTATTTGTCACAGTGTCAGCCAGAAGTATTAAAAGATAGCTTTTGTGGGCACCATGATTCTAAAAGATTCGCTTTAGCATATACTGACATACAAAAATGTCATTGGATTTGTATTTCAGCTATCAAGTTTGAAAGTGGGTCTTTTATACAATAGCATACATGTCTTTATTTTGACATGATGCAAGATCAAGTCTAGAAATGTAAGATTCTTGGGTACACTAATTACTTGGTTTAATTTAATTGCATTTGAATACTAAAATGCCAATATAATTCACTCTTTGAAACTTTGAGACAGGGATCTCTATCATTTCTGCATCTATAGAGAAGTAAAAGTCTAATAGATCCATTTTGTGTTTTGAAAAAATGTAGTGCTATAATAATAATGCTTTCTTTAATAACATATGGGTGAGTTAGCTGAAATAGTTAACTCCTGAGTTGGCTCCTAACTCACTCCGATGTTATGAGTTAAGTTGGGAGTTAACTATTGCAGTTAATTGCTCCTTGGTCCAGACTGGGGTGCTCACTTTGCTAAAGTTTTCTCCAAACATTCAAGGATATTATCTTCACAGTAGGATAAAAAAAAAAAAGGAGGGAGTAACAAGAACAAAGATACCTTATAATGTTAGATTATTCTTAATGTCATAGTTCTAAAGATCAGTGAGCAAAAGTTGTACATTATCACTGAGCCTTTTTCTTTCTTTTCTTTGAAGGCATCAACGAAGAGCACAGTGGTTGTACCTTTTTGAATGTGTATTCCTAAATTCACACTGACTGAATTTGGTCCTAATTAGAGACTGGGGCCCATAAAATGAGGGGCAAAGGGCTAATTACACTTGTCGGTAAACAGCTGGGTCCATAAGTAACCCCATTTTGACCCAATTACTAGTAAATCCAATTTTTAAATCCTACAGACAGTGAATGGTGCACCCGTAGCAAAATGAAGGACATTTAAGTCGGCTGTGACATTGAGTGGTTTCACAGAAGTCTTGCCTCCACAGCAATTGGAAACATTGTAAAACATTAAAATTCAGTTGCTATTTTTCCATCTCAAAATATTTTGTTAGTCACTGCTCACTTGTGGCCACAGAACAGTCCCCCTTTGAGTAAAGAAGCAGCACTGCTTAATGACATGCTGTGTGGTTAACAAGATTCAACTGCCACATCAAAGACTTTTTTTTTAATAACATAATTTGAAGATTTTTAAATTTTACTTAAGAAATGAACTCATTATCACAGCTAACCATTGCAAACTTCGTCCTTATTCTCTAAGAGAAACTGCAATTTAATTTATAGTCTAAAACTTGGTAAAATTTGATTTGAATAAGAGGAAAAAGAAACAAATGTATTTATGATGAAGCTTCATTCCCAGAGCAATAGCTCCTTAAATATGAGAGAAATAACTGTTAAGAAGTAATTAAAACAATTTTTAATATGTAATTAGGTACATATGTTTCAAAACACCAAGTTTTTTATATATATATATATATATCTAAGTAACACGTGTGATTCTTAATACAGTCTTTAGAATCCTACCTTTTATACAGTAGTCTTCCTGTGTTCAGTTTTGTAGCTAAAATAGATCAAAAACGTATTTTGAAACAGTTAAAGTAACTCTGTGACTCATGCTTGAAGTTCTGAAATTTGGGAGCATTATGAGGTTTCCATGCCAGTAACTGCTAGATCATTTGTATTGTCTCAGAGAGTAAACGGAAGAATTTAGAAAACTTGTAATATCCTGACTTCTTTAATAAAATGTGTTCTGTGTATTGCTACAATCCATAGTCCAGCCTTTTCTGAGTTCTTGAGCCATGAGATGGAGGTAGCCTGTGTAATCTACTATTTTTAGCAAGTTAGGAAAGCAAACCAAATACTCTCTGAGAGGACCCTGTGAAATGGCTGTACCCTTCAGCTGTGCTGTTTCAGACTTTGGCCAGGCTCCCAGGTGACTTACGTTTATAGCAGACTTCTACTTAGAAGAGGAGAATTCATTTCATTAAAAACAGAAGTTGCACAGCTCAAGTAAGCAGTTATGTAAAAGAAATCAATTGGCATATTACTAAAGGTAGTAGGAAGAAAATTAGCTGATAGTATTTTAGTTGCATACTGGTGATTTTAAAGTTTAAATAATGAACTCAGATTAAATTTACTACATGAAAACAGATTTCTGTATTACAATAAATGTGTCATTAATAAAATAAGAATACATGATAATGAGAAAAAAATATACATTAAGTATACTGAAAATAGAAATGATAACAATAAGAGCAAAAGCTGTAATGTGTACTAGTTTATAAAATAATATTTTAAGCACTTCATTTTTCTTGATTTTGCTTTTACACTTTTAAGTCTTTTACAAGTCTAAGAGTATATTCAAATTGAGAATTAAATTGATTATAAACTATAGATTGGAATTTTTTAGTTACTTCAGAAATCCTGAACATTTGAAGAGGTACATTATTTTATGCTCGAGAGGATTTTTTTCTTAAGGCTTGTAAAAGGAATAACAAAATACCAAAACAAAAATTACAAGAAAAATATCAACACTGCAAAATAAAATATAGAATATTATATATTAGAAATGAATGTCAAATTACCAATCAGTAATAATCTCAATTACTAAAATTTAGGTAGTAGATGTAAAGTAACATACAGAAAGTATTCAATGTGATGCCACATTATTAAATAAAAGGCTTTCACTCTATGATCAACAGAAATAGACTATTGCTTATTGATTCTTCTTTTTCAAATACCCATGCATTTTTCAGGTACTGGTGGTGGGAGGCTATAACCATTATGTTTATTACCTATTTTCCAAAAATCTAGCAAAACTCTTTTATCTTTGAAAACCGAAGTCTCTTGTTCTCTTAATCAAATTAGGCAACTTTAACATAATTAAGCATTCATTTCACTATTATACATGTTTGTGTATATAGATAGCACAGCTGATCAAATTTATTATGGACGCATCAGAGATCAGATTCCACTGCAAAGGGACATGGAATCAAGGGCACATGGAGTGAACATCTTTTAAAGTGAACCTGAAGACCTTGCAGAATATAGGAAGTACAGAAAGCAGCTATTAGAAAACCCAAATAAGTAAACATCCAGGTAAATAAACAGCTAGAAAACTCAAAGTCAGGAAGGCAAATCAAGTCTCTAGATGGTCACAGAGGAATAGACTAGCATAACTGGACATTAGAAAGTGGTCCTGAAGGTCTTTACTGTTAAATTTTATAAGATCCTTCATTGTTAGCTCAGTATATCTTCAATGTAGCAATTGCCTTTTGCGCTGTGCTTTTTAAATCCCCAGGGTAGTCTTTTCATTCTATCTTTTAAACGGGGTTAACTGAGAATCCTGGCAAAGTACCTGCATGTTGCATACTAAACGTCCAATTTTCAATTATAACTTTTACCTAGTAGGCTCCTAATTGGAATAACTTTTACCAGTTTTGTTGTTACTGTTTTTTTATTTTTATTTTTTGCTAATGGCATCTCCTATGTGATATTAAAAACTTTGACAAATTATTATGTATAGGTGCACATTGAATGTGCCTTTCAGTGACAGGTTGACACAGGACTTATTTAATTTCCTCCTAATGACTTAGGAGCTGAACTAACTGTAAGGCCTAACTTATCTAGCAGTATGGATCGTGTAAAAGTTCCAGTTGTGATTCCCTAAGCAGAAACTTAACAACTTTGTAAAGAATTCCCTGTGAATGTGCTGTGATGTCATCAACTGTGACATGAACCTTTCTTTAATGAACTTCTTAGTAGCTGTAGCTGCTTTGGTAATACAGCTTTAGTCATGTACCTATTTATAGTTGTATAGTTAGCAGGTTTTTAGAAAAAATATTTTTAAATGAGTACAGATTTTTAAAGTTTTGGACAAATTGCAAGCCATGTTTTGAATCATGCTACCTAAGGCACCAATTCTGGAACTAGTTAATTTGTTTTCTTCCATAAGATTTTGGTACACTGCTTCCCTTTTTATTTTTCTCATTCAACCTTGCTTCTACTTGTGCATGTGACAGACTAAAAACAATTTAAACCTAAGGCAATGTGGCACTTAGAATTGAGTTCAAACTAGAATTGTAACTCATACTTCTACATGTATACAAAATTCTGATTCCATGAATAGCCTCCAAACAGTTCCATGTACAAAAAGCTGTTACTGACTTGAAAGAGCCCATGCAGCATGGGGTGAATCTTCTGTTCAGGAAGTGTGTAACATATGCCCAGTTCACGCGAGAGGTG